TTTTTGGTTGGTAGAAAACTCGATTGGTAGGCCTGGTTGTTTCAGAATCAAGGGCCATCTATATTCCCAAAAGGACACCCATGAAAGTAAGCTGGACGAAACTGCTCCCTTCAACTGAAAAGATACTCTTGAGGACTTTGACGAATCCAGGGGAAACAAGGGGCTGGGGCGAGAGGGGCTGGTGTGTCAAGAGGGGTCTTGTGCATAGTGAATTCATGTGCAAAGATGAGGAGAGCGCGAATTCACGTAGGTTGTGTGCCTGCGACATTCTTGCTCCTATGTGGGCTGTTCCCTGAAAAAGCCCACGGTCCCTTTTGACCCATTGCTTCCCCCTTCTCATTTCTTCCCTTCCGTTTGCTGAAGTGAATATGTGTTTTATTTTCCCCTCTTGGAACAAACGGAATCTATCACCAACTGACACGTGTTGCATTTTCCCACTTGCTGAAGTGAAGACTTTCTATATTTCCCGTGCTGGTTGGTTGCACAGGGACTCATATGGGCGTGGGTCAAAATTATCAACCCCCATTTTGGGATGGCGACATATTGAACACATGACCATTGTGGAACCATTACGTCATTTTTGACCCAAGGGTTTGACCCATTTTTGACCATTGAACAAACCGTTTTGACCATTGGTACCCATATTTCACATTTTCCAGGTCTTTTTTGTCTTTGCAACTCGCTCAGTGCAACTAAGTGCGCAGCGTTTTCTTGTTAGGGGGGTCAGGCCCCAAAAGCAGCAACAGCTATTGTGTCTCTGTATACTGCAAGGCACAATATGACTCATATGTGTCCTCTTAGCTTAGTTTGGTCAAACATAGATGGGTTCCACTGGTTTAGATTGGTTTCATTCCATTTACCAGGGCCATCTATTGTTGCAAAAGATCATCTACCCCAAACCATCCCGGGAAACATGGGGTCTATAACTGTATCACCACTAAAGGGTATACACCCCGATTTCATCCCCTAGTGGCCCTGGTGGTTTGTGGGTGGAAACCTTAGACGGCTTTCAAGGGCTTTCCCGTATTTCAAGGGCTTACGCGTACCCATCTTTCCCTCTTGGAACAAAGGGAACCTATCACCAACTGAAATATGTTACCTTGGTACGCCATACCCATGCCCATTTTTGACCCCATTTTTGACTCATATCCATACCCATGTTTTTTTTTCACCCACCGAAATATGTTGCATTTTCCCCAGCAAGTGACTTGCTGAAGTGAAGTTAAGACACAACAGTTCCTTACCCATCCCATACCCATAGTTTACCTTTTCCAGGTGACAAAGCCCAACAGTTCCCTTTCAAGGGCCCCCGCTTCGTGGCGGTGGAGCCGGCGGCGTGCCCGTCCTTGACGCGGGGTGTCTACTGCTACGACTTCGGGGACTCGGCGAAGCTGACGCCTCTGCTGAAGAGCCACACGTTGCTTGGTGCTTCAACCAGCCGTCCGGGTTCACCTGAGCTTTTTAGTCGCTTTTAGTTGTGTTTAGTTGTTTTTAGTTGCTTTAGTGGTTGGGTTCCCGCATTTAAACCGCATGTTAAGAACATTTAGATCAAGCTTTCTAGCATTTGTTGTTGGTAAAGTGGTTGGGTTTCCGTCTTTTAACCCACTAAATTCGCAGGTTTCCGCTTTTTAACCCACTAAAAAGGTTAAAACCGGGTAGCAGGTCTCCAAAACTTTAGCCACAGGTCGACACCTTTTTCATCCGAAAAATCGGAGAGCCGAGGCTTGGCAGCGGCTTCATGCCCCCCTCGGTGCACGCGGGGGGGCTGAGGTATCACGGCATGGCGCCGCTGATCTCGCACCTCAAGGAGCTGAAGGCTCTGGAGGCGCGGGTCCCAAAGGAAACCACCAGTTGGATGGTTTGGAATACTCACTTCCTGAGTTCATGAACTTTAAACTTTGGAGGACCAATAAAGTTTGAACATTTTATGGGCCATCCACTCAGCCAGTGAGGTAAGGGTCGTTTCAATTCTCATTCCCTGCTGAGAACCAGCAAGAAGGTATGTGTACGTACAGAATCATTTTAAGTTAGCATACAAGGGGTGCACGGTTGGTCCCTTGCGACGCTCGCGAAGGGAAGTGGCGAGACAATCCGGGGCGCCCCCCGAAAAAGGCCGCGTTTTGGCCTGGGTTTGAGGGAGACCAAAGGAAAAACTTTGTGGGATAAGTTTGGACGTGGAAAGAACCCGGTTTTAGCTTGGGTTTGAGGGAGACCGAAAGGAACACCAGATCACATTTTTCACGGAGAAGGTTGGACATGGAAAGTGACAGCGGACAAGAGATGGTTGGATGAAGGCCGCACCAACATCATGCCGAAGGTTCGCCGTTTTTTAAGATGCTTGTGTTATGCTTTTCTCGGTTTACTTGATGTTACAAGACGTGCCGCGGCACATGACACTGGGCAAAGTGTAGCCAATGGTTGGTGCATGGCCATTGTAGAGAATTAAGAACGCCTTGTACAACCTCGCCTTTGCCATCAAAAGGCCGAATTGACAAAGCAAGCCATTTACAATGTACAACCTACTCGCCTTTACCATGGAATGACCAGGTGGGTTCTCTTGCGCTTGACCACACACCCCACCCCAGGCGCGCGCGGTGCGTCAGACCGCGGCCTTCGCCGCGGGCGCCTCCTTCTTCCGGGCCGAGGGCATCATCCCGGCGCCCGAAGCGACCCACGCCATCGAAGGCGCCCGACGTCATCCGTGTCGGCCGAAACGAGCCCCAAACGGGGGGAAGCTGTCTTGGGGTGGACGGGACAAACCGGAGCCTTTTCTGAGCAGGGTTGTGGGATCGGGTTTCTCCCCACTGTGATAGGAATCCCCCTTTATATGAACAAAATCGTCGTTGGGGTTAGGCCCTTTCTGTATCACAGAAGTGGATTCCATTCCCCACAGCCCTGTTTCTGAGGGCCCGGCCAGATCCCAAGGGTGGCGCGCAGGCGCGCTGGTCGAAGCAAAGGCAGCGGCGGCCGCTGGTGAAGCGCGGGTCATTCTTTTCAACATGCGCCTTGGCTCAGTGTGGCCATTGTTCAAAACCAATGGGAGCCCATTTTGGGATAGGTGCACCACCCATTTTAGTCTATTTTAATGGGGATTGAGATGTTCACTGACCCATAGCCCGCGTCTCAGTGGCTCACCGCGGGAAGTGCTGACTTCTCGCGTTTCAACTTCCGAGCCCACCAGACATTCGGAATGGGAGTTCGTTCAGTTCCATGACGGGTTGGCTGTGGCTCGAGAATGCAACAGCGGACCTCAGCTAGGGCTGAGAAGGTTTCCAAGTCTCAACTGGGATGAACTAATTCTGGCCTTGGGGTCTTAAGGTTTGAGATCCAAGCTTCAAACCAGTGATCCTTAGGTGCGGGCATGGGCACTTCGACATGTTCGCCTGGCAGAAGTATGCAGCAGGACAGATCGAGGACTACGAGTTCCCAGAGGACTTGCTTCAGGCGGCCCTCAAGGACAGGCTTTGGCTGCTTTCGGTGATTTTCTTTCGGCTTTGGGCAGGCTTCCTACATGTACCTCGTGGTTCCTTGGTGCTTGTTTTCCATTTTTCCCTGTGAAAGGAGTGTTTTTTTTCCCCAATAGCTGAAAGCTTTGGGGTCTCAGCCCAGATAGGCTCCAGGGTGGTTTGGGGCGGCCCTGAGGTAAGGTTCCACGAGGGTTCCACGAGGTTCTGCGAGGGCTGCGGGGTGGTGTGAGCACTAAAAAGAGCATGCTGTTGGGGATATCACCTGAGCTTATTTGTTGCCCATGGTTGTGGAGAATGGGTCTGTGATACCGAAGGAATCTCTGCAGGACGAAACCACTTTTGCCGAAACTTCTATTTGCTTAATATGTTTTTCCCTCTTGATTTTAAAGGGCATCTATCACTACTGGACATATATTTATTTTTCCAGGGGGCGAAAAAGCAAGTGGAAGAACATGGTGTCCCCTTAGTTTTGACGCGCTCCCATTATCATGAGCAGCCAAAAAGGTATGGCCAATCCATGTGATCTGCCCCAACGCCGGGACGGGTTGGCCGCAAATGCAACTTACTGCGCAGGGCCGGTCGTTTTGGGACTGGAGGGCTAAGTTCCGACCAGGGTCGTGGTAGCCCAACTTGCAAATTCGGCTACGGAAAGTGAACCCAAACACCCTAAGCCTAAGCCTTAAATGCCCTAATCCTAAACTCAAAAACTCTAAACCCCCACAAACCTAAGCCCTAATTCCTGCGCAGGGCCATTGTTTTGGGGTGAACCGCCTAAGCTTAAACTGTGCGGCGGAACGCGCACAACATCGTTTGCTTTCCAATGGGGAAGTGCGATGCCTCTAACCTTTGGTGATCGCTCAATAAGGGTCTTGCTTGTTTTGACTTTTTTTTGTTTGGGGGGGGTTTTAGAGGGAAACGAAAAGGAACACCAAGGCCCCTTTGGAGGAGTCCCTAACGAAAGACACATAAGGAAGTGGCAGGCCTTGCCTTGGCCTTGGCCCTAGTTAGTCGGTGCCTCCTTTCGTCGGTTGATGCACTCTCGGGCAGGATGTGCCGGGTCTCAACGGAGTCGACTGGAAGTGAGGACTCGTTTGAAAAGGGCGGAGAAAAGGGGCGAGGGTCGCGAGCGCAAGGGTCTAGACTTGTGTCCTTTGTCCTTCAGAGAGTTGAAAAGACAATCAGATTCGGGATCGTGTTAAGGTTGGCGACTCCTGTTGAGTTCACCAAGCCAAGAGCCCACACAAGCTGCATCGAACTGATGGCGCCAGGTTTGTTCATGCCTGCAATTTTGTTTCATCGATCCTGACGTTCGCGGGGTCCCACGGCGTCTGGTGAAACCTTTCGGGGGGTTTCTCAACATGGCGGGCCCCTGGTGGGCTTTTCGGGGGAAGGCAAAAGGAAGCCACCCAGTTTGGGGATTCCGGTATTTTGAGAAACACCGTTATGGGGGTTTCTTATAATTGGGGGAAGCCCACCATTTGTGTGGGCTCCATCGATGTTTTGATCCCGGCTCCGCCTCCCAAAGCGGGCGAGGTCCCCGGCTCCGGCATGCTGGCAGCCAGTGGCTGCAGCTGGCACAGCACGCCCTTGCTGGAGCTGGCCGAGGCGAGGTCGCGAATCCGGCAGATTCGAGTTGGAGATAGGATGGCTCTGGCGTCTTCGGTTTTTGTTTGGGGAAGGGGACGCCACTGAAAGGGCGCAAGGGTTTTTGCCTTTTGGTCTCCCTTAACAAACAACCAAAACGGGAGTCCCTCAAAAAATAACGGTAACCTAGGTTGGGGGCTACGTCACAAGTGGCGTTTCCCGCTTCCCAACTTGGCGAATCGAACATCCATGTAGCCGCAAAAGGCGTCGCAGCTTGGGGTCTCAGAACAGAACAGTTCATAGTTCGTATGGGTGTGGGTCAAAATTAAACCACTAGGGGACCGCAGGTTTTAGTCCATGTTTCCATTTACCAGGGTTCCATTTTGGGTACATATTTTTGACCCGCAGCCATATAAGTGCCACGGTCAAAAGGCACCTTCCTTTTGGGGTTGCCGGGGATGGTCTCCTGGTAAGGATCCTTAACCAGTATGCCGATTTCCATTAAGGGAACCATGATGACCCACAGCAGTTTTGACCATGGCACATGTCAAAGGGCGCCAGTTTTTCTGATCCAGTGACTACAGGGGTTTTGAATCTTGGTCGGACTGGGTTGCTTTGGGTCTGGAAATAGCGAGGCAATCTCTCTTCTGTATCTCTTTGCCAGATCTCCTTTCTTCGACTTTTTCTCTGCAAAGGCCAGGTTCAACTGATCCTTCATTGTGGCCGCTGCCTCTGGCAGGGAGCCCTGTGCGCCAGGTTGAAGTCCCCATGCTTTACCACAGACCCTCCATCAGACCTTAGCTGTCTTAGCATCTATAGGATTTGGCACATACGCGCCCTCAAGCGAGCAGAAAGAAGCATATCCCATGACAAGGAAGCCGGATGCAAAAATCTTTCCAGGAAAGAAATGCGCGCCCTGGAAAGGGAGCGATTGAGTCTTTGGCTGCGATTTCCCTTCCTTCGAGTCTCCGAGTTGCATCAGGTGGCCGTGTTGGACGTGCACTACGCGCGCCATGGCCTTGAGGACTTCTTCGCAGGCGGCTTGGACTGCAGAAGTGCAGCTCAGCGTTTCTCAGGGCCCCGTACAAAATATTGGGCCAACAAAGACACCCATATTTGGAGGCCAAATCCCCGCAAAGTGTCCGCAATTTTTTGGCCCCCCCACATTTTTTTGCCAAATATGGTTCATCAGTGTGTCTTTTTCCAGGATTTGGCCTCCAAGCTGATGATTTTGTTGGAAGAGACAGGGCCTCTTGTTCCCCCAAGAGCTCAAAGCTAGTGGAGTGGTTTGGGGCAGCTTTCCGGGAGGGTTCCGGGAGGGTTCCGGAGGGTTCCGGAGGGTTCCGGAGGGTTCCGGAGGGTTCCGGAGGGTTCCGCTGTTGGGGAAATCACTTGGGAGCATATTTTGTTGGCAGAAAGAACTCCAACGCTTGGGCAAAAAAAAATGCAAACATGAAAGTTGAGGCAACTCCCAAGGCAAGGTGAGAACTAGAAAGTTGTCGGCAACGTGGCGTGGTTCGGGGACAGGGGTAGGCCTGGGGAAAAAGCTGTCAAGCACACGCTGCAAGTGCTGGTACCTGCAGAACTTCCTTTATAGACCAGATAGAAACCCGCTTGGCCCGAACGGCCCGTGAGCGCGACAAAGCCAACTCGGCGCCCACGTGAGGACTGCTGCAGCCGGAGTTCCAATTCGACTGCCCCACCTTGCTGCATGCCCTGCGGCGCCTGGTGGAGCGGGTGCGCGAGAGCGGAGTGAGCGCCGGGGGTTCGGGATCGCGGCCCTCCCGCGGTGTCCAAGAAAATGTCTGGGCTCCATCTGAAGCTGCCGGGGAGTACTGTGAATAAATGGCGCCCAGGTCCTTGAAAGGCGATGCCGGTTGGGGATGCCGGGCCAGAAGTGAATGATGAAGGTGATCAAGAGCAGGGATGTGCCTAGAAGCCAACGAGCAAAAACAAATTGAGGATCTTTTGGAAAAGAGGCTCACATGTGATTCTACGATACTCACGTGTTCTTTTTTGTTTGAATTTGGTAGGTGGTTGATCCCAGTACAGGGTCTCATCTGGTTGGCGCGCATGTTGTGCGTCACGTAAATCGGTAAGGTGCCCCACTGCCACGCTTCCCGGCCACCCCGCCCCCCAACCCCCCCACCCCCCCACGCCCCACTGCCAGCCACCCCCCCGCCCAAAACCATCCCCCCCTCACCCATCCACCCACGCCCCCACCCTCCACCCACCCCCACGCCCCCCCGCCCACCCGCCCCGCCCATCATTCCTTGCGCAGGTGCATTCCGGGGAGGCGGCGCTGCCCGGGGGCCACGAGCTGGACGGCCTCCTGGAGATGGCCACGGAGCGGCCCGGCCTTCCGCGGGCTGGGCGAAACGGAGCCGAGCGGAGAGCGGTCGCGAGCGGAGGGAGGCGGTTTTTGGGGGGGGGGCGGGCCAGGGAACGGGCTCCCCCGTTTTTTTTTCTTTTTGGGAGACCGGGGGACCTCTGGCAGTGCCTTTTTTTCCCCAGCTGAAAGCTTTGGGGTCTCAGCCTAGATAGGTCCGGGGCGGCCCTGAGGTAGGGTTCCACTAGGGTTTCACCAGGGTTCCGCCAGGGCACGAGGTTCTGCGAGGGCTGCGGGGTGGTGCGAGCACTAAAAAGAGCACCGCAGGTGGGGATATCACCTGAGTTTGTTTGTTTTTTCTTTGGCGATTTTGAGGCTTGATGTCTTAAGGAAGTTGCATACACGCAGCTGTGTGGTCCCCTGTTCTGTATTTTCTTGGGGGTCCCCCCTCTTTTGACGTTTGGTGGAGGGGGAAACCACCCATTTGGGGGTGTCCTCGTTTTTTGAGGTTGGTTGAGAGTACGCTTTTCACACTGCTTGAAAAGGAAGCTATTGTCACACATGCCGTCACACACCCATTTTGCGAGCTCATGCCCCCAAAAGCAGGACCCTAAAGAAGGTGGTTGCAGAATAGCCGCGAGTCTACGAGGTGGGCCGGTGAAGACAACCATGGGAAGCCACGATGTGTTGTTGTTCTCTTGTGTTTGTAAGGATGGCAATTGGATTTCACTCAAACCTATCAGAAGGCAATGCGACAGGTGTAAGATTCTCTGTTGGGTTCGGCAAAGCTGCACACGATGTGGCGCCCGCTTTTGGCTCATTCTGAGATGGCCGAAGAGAGTTGTTGGCAGGATTTGGAAGGCGTATTGCCTTGTACAGTCTATTCGAAGATGTTGCTGTGCAATTCATAGCGAGTGGTGGGGGTTATCGGCTTCCCCCGCGCGCCGAAGTCATCTTGGGCCGCGTCGATCGTTTTCGAAGGTGTCTTTGGGTCTGTCTCTCATGACCCGTCAGGTTTCGGTTGCTCGAAGAGTACTCAATAGACGCCCAGGTCTGGGCTTACGGCTTGATCCTAGCGCTTTCGACAGCGCGCATCCAGCGGCCATTGGAGAGTTGAGCCTAGCCAGTTTCTGATTACGTCGCGGCACTTTCAAACTGGCAAAGAATATCATGGAGCCCGTTGCTTGATGGTTTTCAGCCGCTCCAGCTACGGCAAGGGCATCTGCCGGACTTGCGAGGCCAACAGATGTATTTGGGTCACACCACGCGAAACAAACTGCACTCCCAGCTATCCGCGGCTGAGCGCGCCAAAGTGCGAAGGTCTGATCTGCGGAGTTTCGTTTGCACCAGTGGGGTGTCCGATTCGCCAAGTTAGTAGGTTGTAATGGAAATACTAGGTTATAGCCCACTTATAAGTCCCCCCAAGTGAGGTTAACCAAAGTGGGGGGTGAAACACCCATTGGCCGAACATCCATCCGGGATAGATCATCCACCCGAGGATCTACTCGCAGCTGGCTGCCTGCTTGAAGACGGAGCCCTCTGAGGCAGGGATCCGGGCCGACCTGTGGGTGCGGAGGAAGCCCCCCTTCTCTTGCCGGCGCCAAGGTGAAAGACTCGTTCTGCAAGGCAACTCTGGCGGTTTTGGGTGGAAGGTAGATGCCAGCGGTGAAAAACTCGGCAAGCAACTTGCTGGTGCGAGAGGTAGTTTCGAAACTATCCCCCCCCCCCTCACCCATCCACCCACCCACCCACCCACCCAACCAGCCACGGCAAGCCTTCCGTGGGAAGTGAGCCCCAGGTCCAGGGCCTCCGCCGCGCCTTCCGCACCGAGCGCCTGGTGCTGCTCAGGCCGCCATTGAGTCGAGTCAAGTCGCGTGGTTCAGCCGATTCAACCGAAGCCAAGCGAGCAAGCCACGCACCCAGCCACCAACAAAGAAGCCAACCAACGACTCCACCGACCAACGATTTGAAATGTTTCAATGGTTCAATGGAGTTTGTAAATCTTCAGTGACGATTGACATTTGGAGTTGAATGTCAATCCGTGAAGCCTTGGTACAAATATGGCTGTGGCTCAAAATTAAACAGGAGCGGCTATGCAGGTTTTGGTCCATGTTTCCGCTTGCCAGGGTTCCATTTTGGGTACCGGTTTTTTGAGCCACAGCCATGGCGTGGCCATTCAGATGTTTGCTTCGCGGCAAGCGCAGCTCTGCGAGGCCCAAGCTGCGCAGTCATCCAAAGCGGCTGATGCCGGAGGAGGCGTGGTGGGACACCCACCCGGAGCTCAGTGAGGCTCGTTGGGCCTCGGGCGTCAAAGTGGTGCTCATAACTGGTGGGTGGGTGGGTGGGTGGCTGGCTGGCTGGCTGGGTGGGGAGTTTGGGGGGGGGAGCTTTTCTTGCTGGTTTGCTAGGAAGGGAATGAGAAATGGATTGACCCCGAAATAAAGAAAACCATCCCCTATTTGGTTTCCTTTCAGGGAATGCCTAGGTTCATTCCTTACACCCTGAGTCATGCCCTACTGAGCACCAGCAGTACTTCTGACTGGTGTCATTATTTGACAGTTTTTTTTGGGGGGGGGATTGAACCCTGAACCCCGGACCAATAAAGCACCCCTTGATCACCAAAGGGATATGCTGAACACTTACAAACCACATACCGTACTCTAGGTAAATTGTAACCATGGTCACTTGCTAAGTGCCTCGTGCAGAGTGGGGGCTAGACTTTGCTTCCAGTTTGAACATGTGTTTGATGCTCCGATTTAACACATACCTGTGTACACCTGTGGTTGCTTTCGACAAAAACGCCGCCCGCCCAATCGGAATGCGCGACCAAATTGCGGCAGTTGGAGTCTGTGCAGAGCTTGTCGCTCAAGAACTTCTACCAGGACTCCGCTGCAAGTTTTACCAAGTCCAATGAGCCAGGGGGAAACGACTACCCATAAGAGCCACGTGCTCAAAACCGGGTGAATGAATGGCAAAGGACAACCCCCTTGCCATACGTAGCTGCGGATATCCGCCTTCTTACTTCTTTACATAGTTCTGGTTGCACCATTTAATACCGGGTTTTGATTATGACTCACATGTGTCCTTCTTAGGATAGTTTTGGTCAAACATAGATGGGTTCCACAGGTTTAGATTGGTTTCATTCCATTTAGGGCCATCCATTCTTGCAAAAGGTCTACCCCAAACCATCCCAGGAAACAGGGTGTACGCAACTGTATAGCCACTAAAGGGTATACACCCCGATTTCCTCCCCTGGCCCTGGTGGTTTGTGGGTGGAAACCAGCTTAGAACCAACGAGTGAGTAGCTTCGGTTTTTCGCAGAGGGCCCTAGGAGTGTTGCGTTTTTGAGGTTCTCGCTCACATCAATGAAAGAGAGAGAGAGAGAGAGTCTTTCTTTGATGTAGGTCAGCCACTAGCATCGGGAGTATATACGCCGGTGCTGCACCTACTTGTCACAAGATCGCAGCGATCGGCAACCCTATGCTACAAATGCAACGGCTTCACACAACTATGTGCGTCGCTGTCGATTGTCATTGTGATCTAACCAGCATGTGCATCAGCTACATAGACAACACAACACATACAATTACAAAAGCCAACACCACTCACAGCATTTCTGAAGCTTCCAAAGACGTGTGTGAATGTGTGTGTGTGTGTGTGGTTGTGTGTGTGGTTTCATTCACGCCACGCCTTGGGCCGCGTTTTGTTTCTTCTCTTTTTTCTGAGCGAGGATCTCAGGGACTTCTTCCTGGCCCTCGGAGTGCACCAGGCACCCGTGATGTGGGCCACCGCGGCCAAAAGGCAACCGCCCACCCAAAAAGCAGACAGTGAGACATGCGAATAAATGGTCGAGTCTTAAAGATGAGGTAAATTGGACTTCCTTTTGGAAGAAAAGTTTTAATCAGGGTTCCACTTGTTGACTTCCCCAAGATTAGACTTGAACCCTTGGTTTAAGTCTACCCTGGCAAGTGACAAAGTGGACCCCCCGATGAAAGGAGGGTTGCCTGGTATTTCCAGGTCCCCAAGAGGCAAGTGAGTCTCCCCGTAGACAGATTAACATGGAGCCCAACAAATTGCCACCTTAGAGGAAACTCCTGGAGGAAGTCTATCTTAGAGTACACATGAATGATTGCTGTTTGGAGCAAGCAGAAGCTACTCGAACAATGTTGGTTGAGCATCCCAGCGCGCGAAGCCTCCGATCCCAGTTGCTTTTCCGGGAGCAAGCATTGCCGTGAAACATGGGCACTTGAGAGCTGGGGTTCCTGGCTCAAATCCCTCTTTGGAATCTCAAGCAGAACTCCCGTGCTCTTTTTCTCCAGCGCAACTTGCGCAACTTGCGCCCTCAAGAACCGTAATTTTCGAAGGAAAAACAACCTGCCCGCTCTCTTTCTTCTTGTTGGCTGCTAACCTCTGCAACCATGTAGCAGCTTCCTTCCAAACCCGCATGTCTGAGACTAATCCTTTCTAAGACACTAGGAGACATGACGTGTGATCGGCAGTTTGGTTTGAGCATTCCCTTGAGCGTCTGTCCACGCTATTGCTCTATTTTGCTGTGTCGAAACCACGACTTTCCAGGAGATTGATTCTTGAAAGCGGACGTTTTCCGAACGAAAAGAGGCCTCCAAACCAAACCGTGGCACTTGGCCAAAAGCCCTGAAAGACGACCCGCCTTCGCCAGGAGATCACCCGCGCCGCGCTGAAAGCTCTGCTGGAGCGGCCGACCCAAGTCAGCTCCTCACGCTGGACTGGCCTGGACGCGCCTGGGGCGCATCTCATCCGACGGAGTCCGACTGCATGCGTAGGTTTTCGTTTCGGTTCGTTTGGATAGACATAGATGGGTTCCACTGGTTTAGATGGGCTTTGTTCCATTGACCAGGTTGTGGGTAGACCATTTAATACCGGGTTTTGATTAGGAATCATAGGTCTCCTTTTCAGGTTCATTTGGATAGACATAGATGAGTTCCACTGGTTTTCGACGGGTTTTTATTGCATTGACCAGGGCCATCTATGTGTGCAAAGGTTCCCTATGACAGCAAGCATGGCGCTGATTAGAAAGCAAGGAGGGGTTTCCCAAAAGCATCTCTGATGCTTGGGGTTTCGTTTTGGTTGCCAAGGTGGGGAGAGCTCAGGGCCCATCATTTCGCTGTTTCCAGTTCAGGTAAAAGTTGTCTGGCCCGGCTGTACGTACAGCTTGGGATGACTTGTGTACAGGAGCACAGTCAACTCTTCAGAGGACTTTGACAGTGAACCACATGTGCAGGATTCCCTTAGGGCTTACTGGAGAGCTGCTGCTGGACCATAGCACCTATGAGAAGGGGACATATTTCTGACGTTGGGCCACTATGCCAACTTGCATAGATGTCCAAATACACATGTCCATAACTCGATTTAGGACTTTGTGTTTGGCCCCCGCGCTCAATTTTTTCAGCAAGGAGGTGTCCGATGTGGCAGATTTTGAAGGACGCGTGGCAGGATTCCAACTGGGGAGCTGAGCTCCCCGAAGAACTGGGGCTGACCATGGGACTGAGGTGTCCGACGTGGAAGACTTGGGACTGCTCCAGACCAGCAGCAACTTCCGGCCTCCAGTAACTTGGCAGGGTGGCAGGGCAGGCACAGGTGTCCTTTTCGGGTCAGACACAAGGGAAATCCATGGCGATTCCTTTTTGGTTGCGTTTTGAAAGTGTTCATAGGCGAAACTAGATTGGTGGATTCCTTATTCTACCAGGGAAATCTATTTTGAACCAAAAGGACACCAATGCTGCAGGTTGATGGGCCGGTCCTGGTTACTACAGCATACATGGGGGAAGGGGGGAGACCCATGCACACTAGGAGCAGCTGCAAGGTTGTGCAAGTGTTTTCTGTTTTTTTTTGCATGAGAGGCGGATGCCCGAGTTGCGTCGTTGCAGTGGTTGGTGTTGAGTTCTTTTGGTCAGATGGAAAAAGATCAACTGGCTTGCTCCCGTATCTCTGGGGGATGGGGACGCTTTTTGGACGAGGGATTCTCCACAGGCCATACGTAGCAAGGGGTGCAAAAGCTTTGGTAACGGATCTTTGGACTTCAACTTTTTTGGCAAATGGCTCTGTCGAATTGGACCCGCCAAACTTGACTGCTATTGGGTTGGATCTTTAGACTTTAACTTTTTGGGAAATGAAGGGGTTTTCCACTAAACGCACTTTTTTGCAGGGGGGTCAAGAGCAACCAAGAAAAAGTGAAGCTCACTTTTCGCAGAGGGGTCCATGCAGCACCCAAGAAAGTGTCCCATCGGAGTGGCTAGGACTGGCGCGCGCCAGACGAGGAGGAAGCACCGGAGCAAGCGCCGCAAAGAGGCAGGGAAAGGCCCAAAGGCTCAAAGAAATGGAATCCGCCCAAAATGGCACCTGGTAGATGGGGACGAAGACTCAAATCTTCGGTTTGCCCCGGCTGTTTCATTGTGAGCCACTCCCATTTTCCCGCTGGAAGTGGAGGACAGTAGTCTTCCAGAATCCCGTCCACTTCCATAGGAAAGAAGAAGGGAACAACTTCCACACTGCCCGGGCACCCTGAGGTAAATGCTGTCCACCCAACAGAACAAATCTGAATATGCTGGCAGAGACGGCAGCGTCTGCCTGTTTTGGTGCGAATGGTTAAGTTCCTCCCAAGGCTGAACTAAAGCTTGGAAGTGCGATTCGCCAAGTTAGAAAGCGGAAAACGCCACTTGGGGTTTCTCATCCCCCAATAACCAGGTCAGGACTTACGAGTGGGTTCTATCGTGGGTTACCAACCATTTAGTATTTTGGTCGAACACCCAAGAGCAAAACCCAGAAGCCAAAAGGGGAGAGATAGCCCTTGGACTTCCTTGCAGCTCCCTATTAACCCAACCAAACGCGGGTACGCATCGGTGAGGCATGGACTTGTTTGTCTTCATGGCTTGGGTTGCACAGAGGCGAACTGTATTCAGATTTGCTCGTGGAGTTTTGCAGGGCTCCTTAAAAGATCTCCATTTCGCAACCATTTGACACATGGTGCTTTTTCAACACCAAAGTAAAGGGACACCACCATGTAGAAGGCAATGTTCAGGTGTTTTCTTGTAAGGATCCCTGTTTTGATTCAAACCCGCCAGAAGAAAGCGGAGCATGCCCTCTGCCACGGGCACACCAGGGCAGACCGCCCAGGCTGCAACCAGCGAGGTGCGAGGTGCTTCACTATTCGGTTTCACCAAACTCGCTAGCAGGGAATGACCCTTACAAACCATCCAACTGGTGGTTTCTTTTTCAGGAGACCAAAGCCTAACCTTTGGTGCATGTTGCCAAGGGATGTTAGGACTTTAACATGTTGCCGACTTTTGTAAGTTCTCCATTGAACCACTAAAAGTGAGTCGCTTTTAGCCGGTGAGCAGAAAGTTGCCGAGTCACCACGGTCCCTACGTATCGCCCCGATCGCGAGACAAACTCCTTCCGCTTTCAGGCGCCGAGCCAAACGACTTCCAGCCTCCTCGCGGCGGCCCGCGCGTGCCAGCCATCCGCTCCTCCGAGGAGCGCAAGAGGCAAGAGAGAGCTCTTCTCGGGGCGCCGGGTGCTTCTTTAAGGCCATCCAAAATTGGGTCCACCTTTTTGA